TTCTAATTCTTCTGTAAAAGGATATATCACGAAATGTTTTCCTGTTAGGAGAAAATTTGAGATAAAAAAAAGTGCGCCGAGAAAATTGGAAACTTACAAATAATTCTTGTTTGTGTGAAGTTCATTTTGAACCACAAATGTGGAAAAAAATGAAAGTTGATGGGAAGAAGAAATTAAAGCATAATGCCATTCCGACTTTGTTTTCATTCACAAAACAAATTATTCACAGAAAAACCACTAAAAAGAAGATCCTCGACTGTTATAAAACAAGTAAAAACTGCAAAAGTTACTTCTCCTGTACACACTACTCGTACTACTGTCACACCATCAACAAATTTTGAAATACAATATCTTCAACATTTATAGAAGTTTAAGAACAATTTAGAATTAATTTCGGTATCTCAATATTTAAGAAATATGTCAAAAGGGAGTTATGATGATGATGACAGAATTTTTATCAAAATTTCTTAATGTAATGAAAGCACCCACAAAAGAATACGATAAAGTTGTTATACCAGAAAAGTTTGAAGCTGAAAATATGCCTCTAAACAATGCATAAGTTACTAAAATATAAATTTTCGTCTATAATTTCGTATGTTCTATTATCAGGACTTATTATACTGGCTTTACAGATCTGTAAAGTTAGTATAATAAGTCTTGATAATAGAAGATACGAAATTATAAACGAAAATTTATATTTTAGTAAGAGAAAGGACATTGAGGCATTTTAATTAAATGCAGAAATTAATTCATTATATAATATATCTGGTTATTTAATAACAAGTATAAAAGAAACCTCAAAAACCTGTAACAAATGTCAGTAGGATCCAAAGAAAGTCCTCTATTAGAATATTCAAAATTAGTTGAAATTAAAAGTTTAAAAAAATTCCATGTTTTTTTCTAATAATAAAACTTTATGTTTTTAGATATGGAAGATATTTTCCACCAATATTATGTGGTGAAAAATCAAAACATTGATATAAGAAAATTTTATTTGAAAATATTTAACAAATCCATATGCAAGTAAATCCATGAGTAAGCTACACAATTAGCCATAATATTCACCAGTTTGATTATTGATGTAATAAAAAATATAGAACTGTTAACAAATAAAAATGTATTGTTCATTTAATAAATTTTTATATTTTATCTGCATACCCTTTTGTTCTTGATACGCTTTATTATTATGAACTTATGTATATATAAAAAGCTTTAAACTTGTAAAAAATTTTATTAAATTATTTTTTTATCATACAATAATGCAATATAGATACAAATATGATAATTTTTATTTGGTTGATTATTATATTAAAGTACTTCAATATAATAGCCTCGATGTTAAAAGTTTTACGTAGTGAAATAACAAAATAACACATAAAGAAAAGACACATCTTTACTCCAGCGAGTGTAACAAACAAACTACTGTAACTTTTATTTAAAGAAAAAAAAATGGATAGTTTTTACAGTATAAAGTTAAATAAAAATACAGAAAGACTATTCATTATAAAACCCTATGGCGGCGATCGCTACTCTGAAAATCTAAGTACTCTAGGCTTTCGTATTATAGGAAGTACGTTGGGATATTTTTTCCCTATCCTTCGCTCGTACAAGTAGATCCTATTGCGTGTCAGGCCCGTCCTGAAATATAACCGATTACGTAGTCTACAGTATTCCTGTGTTTCCTTAATCAAATACAATGAAGTTCCAAAGCTGAATCCTAATGGATGGGTAATATAGAATATACTTACTTTAGATGCGCGTTATCAGGAATAAAATACATTGTATTTTAAAAAAAATTCATAAGCCATTTAAATCAAACTGTAGAACATTTAAAGAAATAAAAGAACATCCGTTGGGTGTTTTTATTATTGAAAAAAACCATTTTACCTTTTATACAATTGTACAAAAGTAAAAATGCACGCTTACAATGAATCGACAGAAAAAACAGTAACAGTTACTACAGTTGCGTGACGAATATTCGTTATATCGAATGTCATCTAATCTGTCGTGTTTCGACCTTGGTAATTCAATACAGAGAAAATAAATAAAAATGCCACGAGATCTCGATAATAATCATTTTAAAATGTACATATATGTGTGTGTGTTGTTTACGGAAGGTCCTTGGCTGTAATCCAGTTCTTAGTAGAAGAAAGGCTCCTCCCTTTGCGTATTCGTATGCTAGAAGCTAAAATTTTAGCGAGGACATGCCATTGTTAGTTATAAAGACAAACACTTTTTACAATAAAGGAAAAGAAAAAAAAAGAATTAAAATTCCAAGCAATTTATTTTCGCCCTTATATAATTTCAATAAGTTTATTTCCTTAATAAGATATGCAAATATTTATTCTTAATTTAATTAATGACTTACTTCGTGTGTCGCACTTAGTTTATTAAACTTTTAAGCTGTGTAGGGTGTATAATTTTTTAACCACTGCACACTGGTCGTGGGTTCGTATCTCGCCAACGGGCTTGGCACGTGGATTTTTCCGATTTTCTTCACGTTTGTAACACCTAAATAGGAGAGTTTCCCACAAAAAGTTCCTTTTGGGAGACATCCCCTCGACAGATTTCCAACAAAGTGCGTAATTTCTTATACCGCATTGTTTCTCAACGGGGCGATATCGCCCCCATATGGGCGTTTTTCCATGTTGAGGGGAGCGATTTGTAACAATTTATATTTTGGGGGGCGAAAACAATTTTCTGGGCAATATAGTAAAACATTACATTAAGATTAATTAGTTATTTTATTCGTTATATCGTACAATAATTAAACAAATAACATTATACTAGTCACTAGTCTATTCAATGCAGTACGAATTTGGCGTTAGCCCTGGCCCTGGGCATCGAATTTTGAAGTGATACGTAATGGTTTTATTGAAGGGGCGATACTACGTTGAAGGGGCGAAGATTCGTTAGAGGTTGAGAAACACTGTTATACAGTATTTAAAGCATTTATACGGTGATTAATTATAACCGGGTCCAGAAAGAGGGCGAAGCGGGACCCCATACCGAATTAGGTACGTGAATCTCGGCGCCCCGGAATTGAAAAAAATATACTCACAATTGCAACGGTAAAATTATCATAATTTACGATTCTATAACATTAGTTTGATGCCGAAAAACTCATGGTCAAGCCGTTAACCAGGCGCGAACCCGCTACCAACTATCTACCAGGGTTTAGTGGTTGATAAATAATTATTTAGAAAGTCTAATTTGTTTATTTAGAACTGGCCAATTTCGCCCTTTTTACCAGCTCCGTTTGAATCAACAACTAGAAATAATGTTAAATATCGTAACGGTTTAACGGATCATTGCATATTCTTCCAACTGCACTTCTGAATTTTCTTCAGTATTTATAACCTATTTAAAGGTTATAAATGTTCATGCGATTAAATAATTGAAGCTGATGATTATTATTAGAGAGGTTGCGGCCGACGTTTTCAACGCGAAAACGTGTACGTCGGACGTTCAGCGCCGCCCTCCTGTGAGCCTAGAAGTTTGACAATGGCGTTTGGAACGTCAGTAGAATCGTGCTCGACGTTCTAAACGCCATTGTCAAACTTCTAGGCTCACAGGAGGGCGGCGCTGAACGTCCGACGTACACGTTTTCGCGTTGAAAACGTCGGCCGCAATCTCTCTATTCTATCAGACCGACACTATGTAATGTCATAGAATTTATTATTTTAAATATTTATGAGTTTGGTATCTGGTATGTCAATATGGCGACAATTTTGACACACAAAAATCGATATGAAAATACGCGCATTACGTATTAGGGCTGGATGCTGCATTAAGTGTTAGGATTTTGGTTCGAATCTTCCATAATTTGTCATGGGCAATACGAGTCGGAACGTTATTTTCACCCCTCATCCATATGGATCGACTCCATTGCCTGTCGGCCCTCTCATTAATTAATGCGCGTTATTATGCATGGGCACAATCTGTGTGTAATAAAATATGCTGATTCATCAATTCAAAAAGTCTAAATTTCAAGCGATATACTCCTCATTTTCCACTAGAGACTTTTAAACAAGTAATCTCACTCGAAAACAGATTGTATATTGGAGAATCTTTCGTAATTTCATTGAAAAATTCTCCAATTTTCAACTTCTATTATTTCTCTGCTTGAAAATCTCACGAATGTTTCTTGTAAGTTTCAAGACCTTTCGCCCATTAACGGGGTGTAAACTTCTTGTAAACTAAGAAGGCCTTTTTTTGGTTTACAAGCCCATTATGGGTTCGGCTAGGCCCACAAAAGGGCAGCCGTTGGTGAGGGATGAGCCAAACATATCCGGGGCACTTCCATCCTGATACAAACGAACTATAAACTGCTAATTAAGGCACCGTAATTAAAAAAACAATTACAGTTTACAGCCAGGCATTATATTGTCTTGGAATTTTCCTGAATTGCTCATGTTCAACGAATCGAACGCGAATGTTTCGTAGTAAATATTAATTAAATTTTACTATGAAAAAAAACCATTATTACAGAATAAAATCCTATTGTTTAGGAGAACACGGACATTAAACTTCACCCAAAGGACAGACAGAAATAAAGACGACTTTCTTTACTTTTGTAAATAAAAAAACAATTGCCGAATTCTTGCAACAGAACGAATAATAGCAGGAAACGTCTACTGTTATGTCATGTATTACATTAATTTGTATAGTTCTTAACTTTAAAAACGAAAAAAAAAAATGGATGAGTAAACAACAAAACTATAACGCTATTTTTCCTTTGATTGGCGTGAAAAATACGTCAGACGACGGTTGATCGAACATTCCTAAAATAAAAACTGCAATCAATAAAGACTTAAAAGTTAATTTTAAGTAATCATTCGGCCACGAAACGTCTACTTTTTAAAACAATAAAGGCCTTTTTTTTCTTCTGTGACGTGATTCATTCGATAACAATAGCGCGCGCTGTCACACTCCAAGACGTCGCGTGTTTATAGAGTAGAAAACAGTACCCTTTCTGTTGGCAGAATTTAAATTAAAAGGAGTAAAATCGCCATCAAACTTATCGTTTCGCCATCATCTACTTGCATATCTGGCGACATTGGTAATGACAATTAAAAAAGGAAAAAAAGTAGCCTTCGAGTAAATGACAAGAAAAAGTTATTATTGCACGCTTGAAGTACCCGGTGGCTCTAAGAATGACCCCCATCACTTCCTTCCAGAACCAGATAAAGAGACGACACATGCCTGTGTCCTAGTCTTCGTTCAGTCATCATGACAGCATCCGTGACGATGTTGGTGCTCTTCCTGATCGTCTTTGCACTGCATTTATCATCCCGCGGCACCGGGCACGTGGTTTATTCCTCCAAATATTACCCCTATCCGCAGAAGATGCCGAGTTCTGAGGTTTATCCTGGTCGTTATCTGGGTAAAGGCACGGTTTCTTACCTATTTGGAGGGAGGGATGTAGAGTTGTACTGCTCTTTTCGAGATCCTGGAATTTATCTGGTGTCCGTAAGTATATTGCTTTATGGTAAATATTCTTTAATTTGCACGCTGTTACCTTTAGACCCTAGTCAAATAACGCGTTTATAACAACAGGGGGAGATTAATTATAATTATTCGTTCGTAAGGTTAACGCAACCTTCAAACACGAGGAAAGTAACCTTTTTGTATTGTTTAGTGTTATGAAATTCGGAAACGAAGATAATCTCGAGAACGAAATTGATTCGCGAGGATCGATGATGTAGTAAGAGCGAATTCGGGGGTGGCGACGAGGGCGATTACCCTCCCCGAGATTTTTATTGCTAACATGAGCTTTCATTACAGTACTGAATCCGTTACCCTTATAGGATTGGACTTAAAGATTTGTTATGGCCCTAATCTATGACGTAACAAGTTCCTTCCCTCCACCAAATAATGTAAAAATGTGGGCCTGTAGACTCATAAAGCGATGCCCTAAGCCGCGCGGCTTATAACCGGGTGCTAAAATTTCAGTTTTAAAGACGGCTTAAAGAAATTGAGCACGTTGAAGGTGTAAAAATTACCTTTAAAAAATTTAAAATCCTCACGTAACTCGCTTCTGAATGCGATGCCAAATTACCACCCAAGGCAATCGGATTCGATCAAACCCAAGCACGAAATCGTCAAGAAACCAACAAGCGTATAAGAAGGAGCAGTTTATTGGCTTCGACTCTCACTAAAAATTCGGGTATTCTATTTATAGAACTTGTAGAATTTCCGGAAAAACGGCTTAATACTGATATTTCAGATGCAGTTAGTTAAACATAGACAATTGTTTTGCCTAACTGAGGGTACGCTGACCTTGCGTTTACAATCGATAAAACAAGCTCTTAAACGGAAACCATTTTTTAAATTAAATTGTGGAAACAGAAAAGTAATGGGCCTTACACGAAATTGAATAAGAATCTATTCGTCCAGAACGTTCTACAAGTAATAAATTCGCATTGCAAAGCTCGCTTGAAAGCTTCGAGAGAGGCTGCAAGAGACTTCAAGAAGCTTCAAGTACTTGGGGTGTGAAGAATCTAGAATTTTACAGCCAAGTAAATTGTAGAATATCGAATTTAAAACTGAAAATAGTATCGTTATAGATACGTGTTCCGAGTGAAGAACGCTATTGAGAATGATCAGGAGCGTAAAGCAGCGAATCCTTTGTTAAAAAGGCAACGTCCTTCGTGTTACTTAGTGTAATTTTTTTGCACGATCTACTGACCTACAGCAATTAAACAATATCTGGTCTTTCTACATTTTGTCGCTTTCTCATTGATTATGGGTACATTCTACCCATTAAATTAATTACGAACGTGCCCATTCTATGAGTATATTTTATAATCAATTTAATTATAAACCCAGTTTTTAGTTTGTATGGAGGAGAGCAAAAAGTTGCTGCTCCTCTTAACCATAGAATTTAGTCAAATTTTCATCATTTTCATTAACTTTGACTAAATTCTATGATGATAATTCAATTTCTTGCTGTTTCAAAGCGCATTTATTTTACTCTTCAAGCAATCTTGTGCTTTAACGTTGAGATATTTTAGTTTGTGATGAGATAATTTTACATCTGTAAAGTTTTAACAATGTTAAAACAGTAAATTCATTAATTTTACAAAAAATATTCTATGTTTAACAGTCGTTTACTCATTCCAGAATATCATATGGGTGAAGATTGACGGACCCTACCCTTACTATCATTATCCTCCTCCTTATCACTGTCCCTACTGCAAATACAGGACGTTCTCTGCCGATGACTATCGTTACGACGTATACCAACATCAAGGAAAGTCTATTTTACGTATACGCGACTTCAGATCCAGCGACCAAGGAATATACAGATGCAGCGCTACATCTCAGTATCCTTATGGAAGATACACCGAAACTGTTTATAAAATTGTCAAGGTTTGAGAAGTCCGTTAACAATTTACGAATCCTTAAAGGATCAATTTTAATTGGGGAGTGGTTTCTGGGTTTATTGCTCTTTATTCCTATCTGAGTGATGACATTATGATATACTGGACCTCGGGATACTGATCTGTAACTAACTTCCTCCGAATGAAATTAAAGAATGAGGGACTGGACAGATGTTAATTTTGAAATTATCATTCCAAAGATATTAAAAGTATTGTTAACAATAAAAATTAGGCAAGACAATTCAGTTAAGAATTGAATTTCAACAACACAAAGTAATTTGGAGTCTTTTTAGTTTGTCGTCCTCACCTTAAAAATATGTAAAATTGCCTTTTTTTAAATTTTCTGACACTCACATGCTCCCAAAAAAGTAACTTTACATATTTTCATGTATAAAGAGTCTGTAAGAAGAGGTTACTCCATTTATATTTGTGTTCCTTTAGTGTTAGAACCTACCAGAAAGATTTTAAATTGTGTTTAACTTCAAACTATGTATGTAAAAATCTATAAAACAATTTTTTGATCTGTTTAATTACATTTCTAATGTCATATTGTCATAATATTGTGGTGATCAAGTAAAAATGGTCAACATTTTATACTGTTTTCAAAATGAAGCAGTTAAACTGCTTCATTTTGAAAACAATTTGAAAACATTTTGCAAAATTTCAAGCAAATGATTCTGACTTTATATATTTTAATTCAAAATGTCCTTCTTACCTACATTTAACTGATAAATGATCGAGCGGAGTCGGCTTAAGTTAAGCTTAAGTGATTTTATTATCGGTTACGGTTGACGTAACTTAACAGGTTTCGCAGACTAACTCCTTACCGAACAGTGGAGTTGAATCTTTATTAAAATAAATCAACTTTACTGTAATCCTCATGGCTTAAAATCTTTTTATAAAATTTGTATAAAAGTTGAATAGATTCAAATTAAAAATAAATTTATTATTATTTTTTAAATCTATTATTTACATATATTTCTACCAAACTTGTTTATATAAAATTTTATCATCATGATCCTTTCTTATTTACAATCTCCCTTTACACATTATATATTACTATACAAATGGTTTGTGTTTGAAATACGACAAAAGCTGCAACTGGGTGGAAAATTAATGAGAAATTACCAAACAGCCAAAAGAAAGAATTATTAAACACTAACCAAACAAACTTCACTGTATAAAATACAAAACAGATGCTCATTACGAAGCATATTAGAAACATCTAAGAGATTCTATTTTTCTTTCTGGAAACAACATTTTTAAATAAATTTCTATGAAAAGGGTGAGCAAGTTATCGGTATGGAAATATATTATTAATAAAATATAAAATGTAATTTGGAATAAAATGTTTTGATTGATAGTTTGACGTTTCCTATACAGTTTCAATTATTACAATTGTCCCGTATGCCATACAATCACTTTTTTATCTTCGCTTCCTGAAACCACTAAGTCTCCTTTTTTTGATACTGATAGACAGGTAACCGGACCTGAAAATAAATCAGTCTAAATGTCTATTCCTTGTAACAGATTTGTCAAATTGCATGCAACTCACCACTATGTCCTGGTATGGTATTTACTAACTTTGCGGTAACTAAATCCCAAACCATTATCTTTCCGCTTTCGCTGCCTGTCAGAATAATTAAGCCATCCCAACATAGACACCTAACAAAAGTACTGATTTAATTTCTCACATAAGGTATACTTCTGAATAATTAGGAGATGTATATTACCTTAATTCTTCTCCGGCATTTTTGCTAAGCAACTGTGTTCCTGTTTTTACATCCATTATGTTTAGTGTGTGATCCTTACCGCATGACGCGACCTTCTCTCCATCTAAATCAAAACACACACACAATTAAGTTTCATTATAGGAACGATTTTAAGCACATAATTGCCAAAATTTGACAAAATTTCTAGCATTTAACAGTACTAAAATAAGTAATTTGATTAAGCATCAGCATCATGAAATAATTTCTTACCTGGACTAAATGACACAGCATAAATCATTCCGAAATGTACTAAAATAGAAAAGAACCATTAATATCACAAAAAATAAAATAAAAAATGAAATATGTATTTATTTACTGCTGAATTGTCCAATTAATGCAAATGTTTGTAGACTCCAAAAGCTAATATGGCCTTCGCTAGTCCCAGACACTAGCAATGAGTTGTCATGAGATAAGTCAACGCAAGTTACGCCCGTCTCGTGATCTAATTCGGCCTGAAATGAAGTTTTAAAATAATTCTAGTTAAAATTCTTAATAATAATGAGAGAGAATACAATAAAAGTAACTATTTAATACAGTTTTTATACTTATTATTTTCACCAATAGCATGAAATCATGATACAAACCACCTCTACAATATTAAAATGCCATCCGACTTACTACTTGACAAACAGAGCATTGCTTTAAACTGATTAAACTATTCCTATCTTCAATAGACTAAGAAAAAAGTATAGTGATATTTAACCAATTAATTAAAGCCGAGACATTGAAAGGAGACAACGTATGCAGGCGAAGCAGTAATTAATGCACCATTCCCTCAAAAAATATAAAATTATTTATTGCCATTTGCATTGTATTTTTGTGGAATGTGATTTCTGGACAGATATTTGAAGTGTAACACTTTATATTGAAAAATAAGCAAAACAAAAAATGTTTTACGGTTAACAATAATGAAACCATTGTCTATTAATTAGCTCTAAAATGGAAGTGCATTGTCATCAATGTATAGTGGCCCAAAAGACTGTTAAGCAAGATACATTTAATTATTATTTTCTATTTTTGACTCTTTTTTCCTCATGGGCACTAAGAGGGGTGTTTTCATCGTAACCATCATGGGTTTGGCCCATGATGGTTATGATGAATTACCCCCACTTAGTGTGAATTGCCCATGGGTAATTCAGACTAGAATTAACTGAACTTCAATCCTGTTTATTGGCAAAAGTTTGTTAAAGTTAAATTATTACATATTATATGCATATTTATTTTATTGATAGTATTTTATTATTATTAATAGTGTGTTAAAAAAATATATGTAATTTTTATGTAAACAAGCCATTATCTCCAGTGTGATCTTAACAAACAAAAGATGATACAACCATCAAATATATTAAATATAATTGAAGGATTTCCATATTAATTAATTAAAAATACATTTAATTAGTGAGGAGAAAGATTCTATGTAAAGTAAGCTAAAATATGTATAAAATAAATTAGTGAGAGCAAACTGTCTCCTTCTATCACACAAAATTTTATTTTTGTAGCTTTTTTAGATAGAAAGAGTAGCCTGCCTGCTTGAAAGTCATATGATTTGTCACATTTAGGCCACAAGAAGAAATAATTTAAATATTTATCAAATTTTCATTTAAACATGTAATATTCTATTAAAATTTTTATTTTAAGTGACTAACTAAATGGGTAGATTTTTGTGGAAATGTTTATTTTACATTTAAAATAAAAATTCCTACAAAAGTCTATCCATTTAGTCGGTCATATTTGATGTTAATAAGAGATAAAATCAATAATTAACAATCTATACTAATATTATAAAGAGGTAATGTTTGTAAGTAAGTTTGTATGCAGCAGGTAATCTCCGAAACTACTCATCTGATTTCAAAAATTCTTTCACCAATATTTAGAATGGAACTTCAGGGTGTACATAGGCTGTATATTATTCTGTTAAACATTCATATAAATTAAAAGATATAATCTAGGTTAAGGCTTTTATGTCCAACAGATGGCACTACGAGTACAACGCCCTAAGTTTGCTTTTCCGTGAGACATTATGCTTTTCTGTGAAAATGAACTAAAGCAGATCATCTTCTATCTATTTATATAAATAGAAATGTAATGTTCGTTTGTTCCTACCGATTCCTTTGAAATTTTCACACAACGCTGCATTCGAATACGCACCTGTTTTTATATAATATACGTGTCAAAATTCAACCCCACTGAAGGGAGATGGTTAGGATTAAGACTTATGGTAAAGAACTCTGCTTCTATTTATACTATTTTAGATGCGGGTTTTGCATTTTTGATTGCGTTTTAATAGGGTACGTCAACAGAATGTACACTAACAAGAAATTTTTCGAAAAATTCCCCCGTGGGGGAAGTGTTATAAATTTATAATAGATACATTTTGAGCCACAAAAACGCGTGGCGGGGTCTGCTACTTTATTAATAAGTAAGAAATTGAATAGAAGACTCAGTTATTCTTAAAAAAAAAAATATTAAATTAGTATATCAAATTTTGAATGATGATATTTTTATTATTATTTCTGCTTTACGGCCTATAACTGGGGCAGCTGGGTAATAAGGGACAGTAGACAAGACCTAACAAATCCAGACTTTGCCATCCACAAAAAAATTCCTGAGGTTCCATGCATGGATTTGCTTCCAGGTCTATTGTAGCAGCAGGTTGATGTTTTAACTCCTCAACCATTCCTGCCGCAATATTATTATTATTTTTGACCAATTTATAATTAAGATAATGCTTCTCACAAAAAGAACTCAACACCAACAGATTAGTGTTTCCATATCAAAGGAAGAATTTATTGTAAAATATTAATATGGATCTTAGTTCAAACTGTATAGTTGTCACATATAACAGTATTTCATTCATTAAAGCATCCAGGCCTTTTCAAGCTTATATATAAAAAGGAACTTCTCTATTATCAGCTTAAAACCCCTTTGGTTCTTTATGGGTTTTTACTTAAGGAAACCAACTGTGGCCATAGTTGTACAGTAAAGTTTTGCAAACTCAAGTTAATGTGGACTAAGGAGGTGATGAGATATCAAAAATTACCAGTTTTATGGTACAGTTTAAATAGAGGAATTTTCATAAGGTATTAAATGTGCAAATTCATATATGTGATTATCAATATTCTTATTTTATATCACTTAAATATTTGTCAATTCTCTCTTGATCTGATGAATAATAATCCTCTGCATTATCATCAGCATGATGTTGATAAATATTCATATCCAGATAGCCTGATGAAGGTTGGACTTTATATGTTAATATATAGATATATAGTAAAAATATTTTAATTTGATAATTACCATTAATTCATTACAATTGTACGGCCTGAGACATTGTTGTTGATTATATTGCCAAACCTGAAAAATAAAAAAACGTACAGTCAATTTTAATTTGCCTTTCTTTTATACAAATATATTCAATTAATGTTATAACTTATCCATATTAATTAAGCAAAATATACTAGATGATAAATTATAAACTATTATCTGTTTTTCTGATTTACATAGATCTTGTTTTAAATTACGTTATGCAGTTAATATATGAAAGTTGACAGATTCAAAACAAACAGCTTCATTATTGGGCTGAAATTTTCAAAAATTGTCAACCTATAAATTCTCATTGATGTCCATCTGCCTGTCAGTCCTTCCTTAATCTTGAGAATGGAGTTAGTTAGAGAAAAGTCAAGACCAGATATGGAAAGCTTAGGAGCATCAGGCCTCAATTATGATATATGAACTACTTGATGTTTAGACCAGAAATCACATCATTTCAATTTAAAAAATTTTCTCCTGAACAGTTAGATGACCAGCATGACTCCACTGCTAATAGAAAAAATATATTATACAGGGGCAAGACACTACTAAAGTTGAGAGCACTGTGATAAAAAATTGCAGGCTGGCATTGCAACAATGTCACAACAAATAATTGCTCATTTATATTACATTCTCTTAGTGCCATATTTTATTAATTATTATACTGAATAATGATTTTATATATGATAGAATATATCGTTTTCTTGTTCAATTTAATATTTAAATATAAAATCAAAAATCTCAGCTGAATTCAAACATGGAGTTCCGCATCATTCTCAATAAAATATTTTTATTAGAGTTTGTTAAAAAGTACATTTAAGTTCAAATTATAGAACCATTGTCGAATAATTTCTATAAAAAACCTCAATTAAAAATAGAGCAAGATTATAGATAAAAGTAGAAACAAATTTTGGACTGCTGTGAGATAAGACCTAAACGAGATGAAAAGTAAAACAGAAGGCAAAAAAGAAACTTTGAAAGTCTGATTAAATGAACACACACACTTCATTTAATGTATTTTACACATTAGTAGTAAGTAAATAATATGATTATATTTTTGAAATTAATTATAATATACCCAGAAAAGATTCATTTCAATGCAGGTTCAATAAAGGGGTCAAGCAGGACCATCTAGTCCATGCCTTTAATATGATGAGCTTCAAAATTCAATGATAAATATGCTTGCTTTTATCACTAATGATGTATGTATAATATATAAGGTACAAGGTATTCCAAAATGAATACCACTACTTCAAATTACTGTAATTAGGTTAATTATTTTCTGAGAAGTATGTAATGTACACCAATCAATACAGTAACTATCTAAGTTTCATTTCCTGTCTTCATTCAAATGTCTTCTTGTCTACGATTTCCAGGAAGCACTGTAAACGAAAATGGCAACTCTGAAACAAAGAAGGCATTTTGTGTGCTGCAGTTTGCAAAGTCAGAATCACTCATCACTGTTCAACATGAGTAATCTGCAGGAGCTGTAGAATTGTGGCTGCTGTGGCAGAAGTGCAAATAGATACGCTGTAACTTATAAAAAATTCAAGTAGTGGTTGGATGTGTGCCATGTGACATGAGGTGCATACATTCAGAAAATGTAATGGACAAATGTGAAACTTGGACAGTTTTTTGATGTTTTATTATATGTTACAATGTTCTTAATAATAAAAAAATATATATATATATATATTTATTTATTTATTTATATTTTTTAATATNATATATAAACGATACATATAATACATAAGCATGTACACATTAAACAAAAGTGTAGTCGTGTAGTAATAAATTATTTCTAAATTACAAAAATACAAGAATTGATATACCTTTGCAGTAGCATCCCAAGAGGCAGTGGCTAATATTCCTCTATTCCAAGAAATGTCTGTAACTGAGGTATTAAGACTTTTTATTAACTTAATATCAACAAAATTAAAAGCATATATGCAGTATATTAAATGCGCATAAATAATTTAATAGTTATATGACTATATATTGATTGAAAAACTATTTATGGGTTGTTCAAAAAGTAATTTCGTTTTTTTCTGTGGAAAAAAAACAATATTTTTATAAGAAATAAATATTTTATTGAATTATATATCAACCATTTTCATCAAAGACCGTATTTTATGGACTATAATATGCTACAGACTATAAGACACACCTTAATTTTTAAGCAATTTTTAAAGAAATAACATTTTTACCATTTTTACCACCTAAATTCAATCCTTTTATACAGATTGAAGCAAACACTGATCCACCAACCAACGCTTAGCAGCGCTATCAGATGTCTGTTGATTGTACAATGGTAGCACGATGATCGTTGGCCAATCCACAGTCGTGGATTCAGAACCACCGGTCGTCTTGTAATCCAAGTTTCTATGGCGACAACCATTGCTCATTTGAAAAGAGAAAAAGCGTGGAAATTGTACGTCCAGACAATTCTATCCCGACACCCCGCAACTCATGTTCATCGCACCGATGCACTGCTGCTGCCAGTTGAATTCAATGTTGCCATATAGAGATAGGTTTCCCGCGGCATCAAATAGATGGCCATTTTTAAGATGCTAGAATTTTAAATCAAACACTGGACATTTTTATATTAATTTCGAGTATAAGACGCACCTGAATTCTGGAGGCAATTTTTCGAAGAAAAATGTGCGTCTTATAGTCCGTAAAATACAGTACCTATTGTCATCATTTCTGGTAGTAGCATGATTTCACATTCATAAAAGTTTTGATCGTTGCTTACAAAAAACTGATCCAAGTGATTTTTGACATTGTCATTTCAAGTAAATATCTTACAGTTAAAAAATATATGTATAGACCAGAACAAGTAATAATCTGAGTGTGCTCGATCTGGCAAATATGGTTGGTGTGATAGCAAGTCCAATCTAAATTATAACAGTTTCTGAAGAGTTACCAAACTTGTGTGAAATTCGACTTTATTGTAGTAAAACACTACACCTGTTTTGTTGATCAATTCTGGCAGCATTTTCTGTTTGATGATATTACTCAATTTGTTTACTCAATAGCAGTACACTTTTGAATAAATTGTTAAATTGTCTGGTAAAAGCTCCAAAAAAAAAAAAATTTCCTTAAAATCCCACCAAAAAGAGCATCTCTCTTTAAAAACATGTTTAACCCATATATCGAGCTTTGCAATGAAACCAATTTGTTTCAAGTAATCATAAACAGTTCAATTTGACAAATTTAATCTCTTAGTGATTTCACGTGTTGTAATTCGGCAGTTTGCTTCAATCAGTACCTTTATTTTGTTTTCATTGGCTTCAACTGGCCATCCAGAATGTGGTGCATCTTCAATATTGAAATTGCCAAAACGAAATTTTGTAAACCATTTTTGGCACTGTTGTTCTGTCAATACATCTTCTCCATACACGTCACACAATTTTTTTATCGCTTGAACAGCATTCTTACCTTTTCGGTAATAAAAGAGCAAAATATGCCAAAAATGCTGCTTTCGATCATCCATATTTGATGGGACACAAAAAATAAACAATTGCACAAAATCAAACAAAATTTTTTACAAATAAGCATTAAAATGCTAGCTGTCAAAATAGATAATGATAATACGGTTTAGAATGAAAATGGTGGGAAAAATAAGACTAATCCGTCTAGTGGTAAAAAAAGCAAAATTACTTTTCAAACAACCCAATAAAATTAGAAATATAAAATTCATCTCGATAACACAAAAATTGAGACAAATTCATGAAATTAAATGATTTTTATTCACTTCCAGTTGCAGGAACATGTTATATTCTGCTCTAGAGTTGAAAATGAATACAAGTTAACATAGATCAACATTGAATTTGCTAAGTAATGATTATTATTTAATAATTTTTTATCACTGAATGTGAAAATGGCATCAGTCATCCTCCATCATGTAATTTTTGTGTAACACTAACCATAATGTTATTTTTCATACCTTTCAGAGTGCATGATATGCATTAACAAGATATCTTATGCCAAGGTAAAGGAATACATGTTCATGGGAACCTCACATAAAGAACTGAACAAATGATAAACACATTAATCATAATAACTGACAATAAAAGTTTGGCTATTAAAAAGCTTTGTGGTAAAACTTGTATATTTTCTTGACAAAGCACAATATATGAAAAACAAAAATATGAATCAAACAATTTTAACAAACTTTCATAAGTTCTGATGCAATATGAGTCTTAAGTTCCATATTTGCATTCTCTTACTTGGAACACTTTTCTCAGAATGCCGATGCCACGAATAACAAACACAACAAAAGATTTCACTAAAAAATCAAAATCATGGAGCAGTGATATCAAGAATGTTGGAGTGTGCAGATGCTAGCAAATTATTGTTGGTCCATGAAAAGAGAAGGAACTCAAGAAGTCCATAAAAGAAAAATAATTCTATGATCATTTCGCAACACGAGAACATGTTTCCAAAGAATTTTAATTGGTTGCAGATACACAAATTGTTCTGATGTGTACAAAAAAACATGTGTGGTGTATAATGAGTGCAAAAGTTTGTCTAAAGTTATCTTCTTGTTTGTATGTTTGTAATCTTACTGACTTTGTAATACTCATATACATAATATAAGTCTATTAGATTAGTATTGCAGGACTTTAGTGACTGTGCCTAAACCTTATTTGATAAAAGGAAATGAGTTACATATTTGGAATCAGCACATTTCACTTACTTTTGTCCAAATCTCAACACTTTACAAATGTCAACCCGTTTAACTGAATTTTAAAAAATTTATCTCAGTTTTTTTACTAATAAATAAAAGATTAAATTACTTAATCAACTAATACAACCTTATACAGAAGCAAAAATGTTTATTAAACAATACTTTCAGTCATATTTAATGACCTTCATCAGGTTTGCTATTCAAAAATTGAACAATTTACAAAAGCTAACGAAAAACAGAACAAAAACAACATTTAAATGCGAAAAATAAAAAAATAAAATATTTTTACAATCTCTTACACTGTTACACGTGGAAAAAAATTCTAAGAGATTGTAAAATATTTTACTTTTACATTTAAATGTTGTTTGGTGTTCTAATGTTTTTGTTCCATTTTCCATTAGATCTTGTACTGTTCAATTTTTGAATAGCAAACCTGATGAAGGTCATTAAATATGACTAAAAGTGTTAGTTTAATAAATATTATTGTTGCTAAATAACATTGTATGTAGTTGAGTAATCTACTGAAGCAGTTATTTTATGAATTAAAGTTTAAAATAAATAAAATTATATAATAAATGTTTAGGTCATTGAAAAATAGAATTTAATAAATATGCAAATATGAAATTCTTCAAAATTACATTTTATTATTTTGTGCATAACATCAATAAAGTGATAAAAAAAAGTGTCTTATTTCAGATTAATGCTAACAATGTATCTAAATCAAACTTAAAACTTATTGTTTGTATCTTCCGTAGCATTATTATAACAGTTAATACTATAAAAAATATTATTTTAAACCTGAAAAATATTTTCAAAAACATTAAATATGTATATACAATAATCAGAATTTTGTATAAGAAATGCAAATAAAATTATCAGCACTAAAGTCAGAAATACTGATATCAAAAGGCAATTTACAAAAACTATTAACAGTTCAAACAGTGAAAAATTTGACATTAAATGTCAGTTTAGATATGATAATATTTACTTTAGATAACCAATACTTTAAAAATTAAAGTGCTCTTAATATAAATGGAATAACTTCCTCTGGAATAAAATAATGAAAACTTTGAATAGGAACGTAAGTAAATTATTATTTATCTGCTTTAAATTTAATTATTTTTAATTAAAAAGATTAAAAATATTAGTTTGATGGTAGTTGTTGTGTGACTTTTATATTTAAATTTTTTCAAGCAAAAAACAAAATGATTTACTTATTTGTGTGTAAAAATACAATAGCTTTTTTGTTTGTATTTTTAGAGAAGTATTTTTATTACATTCTATATGTATTAAATTAAAGATAAATGGTGCAAATACAAAAATGTACTTGACCAATAAGTTTTAAATTCTTCAAATCCTACAACATCCAAATCATTTAATATGTACAAATAATGCCTTTATAGGATCATTTATGTATATAGTCTACATTTTTCATCTATTTCTCAAACTTCTACATTATAAAATATCAAAGTAAAAAACAAAATTTGAAAATATGATTTAAAAAATATATATATGATATGATGCCAAGTACATATTTCTAAATATGCATTGTTCAAATATTTTATCATGTGCACACACAAAATATTAAATGAACAGCTAAATTCTTTATCAGGTTAGTTAAGGTTAATTAATTATCAATTGATTGCATGTTATTACACCATATATTAACATTAAATGATAAAACTGGAAAATAATTAAGTACAATTCAGTAACCTTATATCTAGTCCAGCAGCATAAAAAATGCCATTTAAACATTTTCAGCCTATGCTGAAGACCTGAAGTAGAGACTTGTTCCTGAAGAAGGCCTTCAGTGTAGGCTGAAAATATTTAAATGGCATTCTATACCCTGATGGATTTGATATAAGGTTACTAAATAATATCAAACCATACATTATATATATAATTTCACATCACACATGTTAATTATATTTCACATCACACATGCATATGCATGTGTGATATGAAATATTCGAAAATATGTATCCAAAATCATGTACAGTAGAGCCTCGATTATCCGACCCCCGATTAACCGACACCTCGGTTAACCGACCGTCCTAGTCGGCAAATTTCAAATGTCCGCTAGTGATGTGGCGCTACAATATTTGGCTACTTTAACATTATTTTTTAACATACTTTAACATTATTACTTTAATGTCTTGGCTACTTTAACATTATTTTTACGTGTTTTAGCTGGCAACACTCATTCGACCATGAAAGGGAGCCAGTATTTAAACGAGGCTTAATTTTCTAATTTTTAACGATACAATAGCAACGATTATTATTTTAAACAATTTTTGTTAGGCTTAACATCGATGAAAATTCAACGCGAAGTAGGTTAATAGCGATATACTAATATACTAATTACATGGGATATAATAATATACTACACTA